CCTCTCTCTCTCTCTCTCTCTCACACACACACACACACACACACACACACACACTCATAAACAAGTGTGGGCAGTGTATATTTCCATGTTCTAGCGGTAGATTCATTCGATTTTGCGCATTATATCGATGAAAGTAGCATGAGGCAAGCTGCAAGATTGGAGACTTACCTGTTTTTTCTCTCTCTCTCACCAAAAGAAAAAGAAAAAGAGGTGGCAGTATATATGTCCATGTTCTGGTTAAAGATTCATTCCGGTTTTGCTCATCCTACACACAAACATACAGAGCCCGACATTGCCACGCTTCACCAAATGAGCAAAATGAGATTAAATCTTCTCCTATGACATGGAAACATCAACTTCCACAACATGGAAATATATACTGCCAAAGACCGAAAATGTGGCAGTGTATATTTCCATGTTTGTGGATAAATACAACTGACATAAAAAAAAAGAACTGACATCTGTCGTGTGATGACATGCGTCATTCAACGGCTTCCAGGGCTTTCTCTCTCCCCGTTTTCTCGCCAACCTCTTTCCCCCACCCGCCCGCTTAGGTGTCATTCCCCGACCACCACCCTCTCTTTTTGACCCCCTCGCTCTAACCCTCGCATGTTCCAGGGCCGCCCTAGTCGAAGACGTTCTCTCACTCTTCTCTTTTCTCTCTCCGTGCTCGGCCCGTCACTTTCCATAATGCATATGACAGCAATTACGCCCACAATCAGTCGAAAAAATGCTCACGAGCTCCGTTCTCTTGCTCCTTTTTTGCCATGTGTTCTGAGGTTGCCGAGAACAATCAAGCTGACAGCAGCGACAGTCTCTATGGCCATGCGCGACAACCAGTGTGCGACAACACCAACGAAGTGGGCGTCCAAGGGCGGCCATCAGTGCACCAAGGCCTCCCTGGGCGTTCTTACACCAGCACTTTCTCGACCTCTGGCGTGATTAAGGCCAGATTCGTCCTGCGAAGTACAACTCTGAGTGGCCGAACACAAGGTGTGCTATGCGGCGCTGCTTGCAAGCGAGACAAACGGGCCTCGCTCCACTATTCTCGATGTGCAAAACGATGGTGGATTTTCTGTTAGAACATGGAAACATACACTGCAACCTTGCGTCTGGCCTCACACGTTACCTCCATCGATAGGATAAGCAAAATCGAATGAATCTTCCGCTAGAACATGAAAATATACACTGCGGCACTTGTAGATTCAGTCCACAACCCCCCAGCCGAAAAAGACCGTCCATAAAACTGCACCAACAGCAACTGTGTTGACCGGCCCAAAAAGAAACAAGCCATAAGAAACAAACCATACGTACCGTCGATCTCGGTGGAGAATGAACCGTTAGGTAATGAAAAACTTTCCTATACTGGAGAGCCAGCTACGACCTCCAGCTGCCCGCACTCCACCGGAAGACCGCACCGCCATCTCCCCTGACCGCCACTGCGTTCCCTCACGAAATGACCGGTCGGTGCCCGGTTGGGGACCGCAACCTTAACGCCCTCTACACCCACTTACACGGTCGACAACATTCCCCATATGGAAACCGGTCGCTAAACGACAAAAGACATCCATCTATACGCAGCCATCCCGGCTGCGAACATGCAAGTCCCAGTGTGAGTACCCCCTGAGGCTGGGTCTTCTGCGTTGTGGGTAGCTATTTGTGGGTGGTTGTTTCAACTGAGGGGCCTCTCTTACCGCCAGGTCATAAATCCTGACTGATAAGTCGTGTAAATGTCTTCTGGGGAAGTGCTCCGAGCCAACGGACCCAGCTCTACTGTTGAGATGTAGTTCCCCCTAACCGGAACTCCAACCACCTGAGGGGGCCACTCACACTAGCACAACCTCAAATTCATTGACCGCGTTTGCCGTCCGACTTGGATGCATCTGGAAGCAATAACGTTCTGAATAAGTACCCAAATCTTGGCGTGAGTATGCCCTGAGACGGCAACTGCGGAAAGCGGTTCCGTTATTCAGAACCGCGCCGGCAATCGCACACGCTCGGAGAAGATCTTGGCCGTAGATAGACTTCGACAAAGCTGTTGAAGTTGAAGGAACGAAGGCCAACAACAACATCCAGTACAGTATTATCCGACGACGACAGCCAAATTCGTTCCACGTTTCCCGCTTTAGGAAAAAGACAAAACAAAATTTTGGCTGGCGCATCTGGCCATGTTCTCGCGGGAAGTTCTTTCGAGAGTGGTGTGGCCATGCCCTTATGTATGATATATAATGTTCGTCTCTCAATTTTTTCTTCTGTATGATATGAAAATGCTCCTCAACAATAGCAAAAAAATAAAATTAAAAAATATGCTCCTCAACAAGGGGTATGTATGTGTATATTTATGTAGGTGCGTGCTAATTGTTGCTAGTATTTCTTCTCCCTCCCTCCCTCCCTCCCACTCTCGATATCTCGTCGAAATTCGGAGTGATCCTGACATCCGCCAACGCACGCGAGCGAAGGCGCCATATTCGTCGATCGGGACTGCCGGAACTGCAAATCAGCCTCAGTCTATGAATTTCTCAGAATCTGTTGGCGGGGCGTGATTGGAAATTGGAAATTGGAAAACGTGTGTGGAATTCGTTGTTGTCGAAGCGAGGTCGCGCGCGCACTTTTGGTGCTTTTTTTTTGGCACCCCGTCTTGCGCTTGCGTGTGCAGCCTTGTGGCTTGCGTTTGCTTCGCACCCCGCCTTGCTTGCGCAGCCTGCCCGCTCCTCCTTCTCCCCCGCTCTACGCGCATCATCTCTCGCCGCCTCTTTCCTATCGTTGTCGTTTTCTCGTCGGCTTTTGTCATCGTCGTAGTATAGTAATCGCCCTCCTCCGTAACGTAACTGGCATCGCGTTGTCGCCTTCAAAATCTCCATCGCCGTCGTTCGTGGTCACAGCTTCTTGGGGTCTGCTCGGCGGGGTGGGGCGATTTGATATCAAGGCGGCGGCGGCGGCGGCGCACGCGATCGCGACAGGTGGTGTCGCTCGCTGGTCACGAGATCCGACCCCGAATCCTGACGACGCTGCGCTGCGCTGCGCGAAGAGATGGCGGCAGCTTGTGGAAATTCCTGCCTGTTCGCGTCGAGCACTTTCGCGTCGTCGTCGTCGAGGGAGCTTCCGTCTGGGCAACTGGTTGGCGGCGTCGGCCATAGCCAGGCGTCGGGATCTGGAATCGGCGGTGGTCATCTCGCCGGAGCTGGCGCTGGCTGCAGGAGCGAGAGGAGGCACGGGAGGGGAGGGTCGTCTTCGTCTTCCCCCTCTGCGCTCCGCGGTGGGTCCGTCAGTGTCGTCTTGTCTGCTGGATCTTCCTCCCGCCGCCATAGCCGAAAGCTTCGACCTGCAGCTGCGCAAGATGACGAAGCACAGACTGTGCAGACGGAGAAAGTGGTAGAGGCAGAGACCACTGCCTCCTCTATCTTGCCCTCTGGAGAATGGCCAGAGAACTTTTCCCTCCTCAATTACGAAGACTTGGGGAGATACTTTGAACCATATCTTCTTAAGCCGGAGGTCCGTGTCGTTTTTTTTTTTTTTTTTTTTTTTTTTTTCAATTTTTTTTTTGGTTTTCAATACCGTAATTTGGTCGATATGCCATATTTCCCTTTTTTTTTCTCTGCTGTATTTCCCTTTATCCATTTTGTTATTGTTCATGTTTATAAGATATACCAATTTGTTGAAACATAGGGCCTCGCCTCACTACTCTCGACATGCACAACGGACAAAAATCATGGCGGTGTATCTTTCCATATTCCAGCGGAAGATTCACTCTCGTTTTGCGCATTTCGAGAGTAGTGCAGCGAGGCCCATACACTCAGACATGTATATTCAACTCCTTCCTCCCCCCCCCCCCCCCCCCCCCCCCCTTTCCTCCCCCCCCGCCAAAAACAATAAACGAAAACTGGTCCTCTTGCTTCTCTCCCCGCTCTCTCTCCTGTCCCTTCTCTCCGTGTCTCTCGTACACGCGGTCCTACCGGTAGTCTGTTAGCTATGTGACGGTATATGCATTTATACGTGTAAATACATGGGTATGGTAATGTATGCATGCACGTATGTTTGTCCAGATGCATCCACGATGCATGCATTTATACGTGTATATGTACATACATGTACATTTATACACGTACATATGTACATGTATAAACAACTGGATATGTTAATGTACGCACGCACGTATGTTTGTCCAGATGCATCCAATGCGCCGGTTAGTTAAATATCGTGTGGCATATAAGAGGTGATGAATAGGCGGAGCTTTCCTTTCTCCCACTTCCCTTTTTGTGTTTGTCTTTTTTCGCCTGTGCGCTCCGATACACGGTGTGACGATATATATTGCATTTTCTGTACGCGGACACGTATGTATCTGACAAGAATCTGACTATGTATGCAGGAAGTAAGGTATGTGCTTGTAGATGTCTTCGTGTAGAGTTCCAATTAACGGGAAGTGCTCTTTTTTTTTTTTTTTTTTAAATTTAAGAAAACAGAACCTTTTGGTTCTGGAAACCGAAAAAGGTAATAGTTCTGAATATAAGGAAGGTAGCAGCCCCCCCCCCCCTTCCTCTTCTCCCCCCTCTCCCCACGCTCCTCATTTCTTCCTCTTCTCCCCCCTCCCCCCACGCTCTCTTCCCCCTGCTTCCCGCGAACTATTCAGGAAATAATGTGTAGACCGAGGAAGTCGGTAGTCGTTGGCCAATCTTTGCTGCCAGTGTAATATACATAGTTCTCTGTGAAGATATATATATGTATATATATTGCAAAGTACATATATATTAATGCGATGATATATATAGAGTTTTCCATCTGGTGTGGGTGAGTGATAGTCTACTTTGATTGTGGTTAAGGTAGATTATCATTTACAGTGTAATCAGTGAGGGGATTTTGC